TCAGTTTACCTGTCACCCATCATTGCCCATCAGCAGTGCACCTGTCACCCATCAGTGCCCATCATCAGTGCACCTGTCATATATCATTCATCAGTGCCGGCATCAGCAGAGTACCCGTCACACAGCCACCATCAGCAGAGTACCGTCACACAGCCACTATCACCAGGATACCCATCCTACAGCCACCATTAGCAGTCTACCTGTCCTAGTGCCACCAGAGCCAGCCATGTAAAAAAAAATTTACACTAGTGAGGAGCAATTCAAATTCCTCAGTATGCTGGATGAGAGCAGTGGGGAGCTCTCAATGTCCAATTATGATTAAGTGTATGAACCCATCGAAAGTAGTGGATGAGCAACTGAATCAGAGGAGGAAAGGATCCCTTCTAAAAGAAATCGTCATGCCTCTTATATACCAGCAAGGATCCCCCCTGGCAGGCATCCGATTCTGTGAGCAAACTTCATGAGCGCCATATTCCTGAGAGTATTCCACCAGTAGAAGTAGGCTGAAGATGCCAAAAAAGATGTTGGTTATGCAGCAGAGAGGGAGTTAGAAAAGATACCAGTTTTCATTGTCCCCAGTGTCCCTCCCAACCATGCCTATACATCAGAGACTGCTTCCAACGTTTTCACATGTCACTAAAATATTAGCACATACAGTATTTCTAACAGTCTGCCATTTCTCCATTTTCAATATCTCTGCTGATCATTTGCCTACTGCCTCAACTAACCATGCCACTGCCTTCTACCTTAACTGACCCTGGCCTGTTTATCAACTATGCCTCTGCCTGCCGTCTGTATTGTTTACCACGTTTCTGCCTTCCACCTGAACTGACCTTGGCCTGTTTTTCGACTATGCTTCTGCCTGATGTCTGGTTTATCAACCACACTTATGCCTTCTTCCTGAACTGACCTCGGCCTGTTAATCGACCATGTTTTTTGCCTGCTGCTTGGATTGATCTTTTGCCCTGCTATTGTAGTAGTGGGATTCAAGATAACACAGGGGCCTCACATATGTGAGGGGCTTTAGAGTAGAGTTCTGAGTAGAGAAAAACAGTTTTTGGCTTTCTCCTGGTTTTGTAATTCCACAGGGTCTGTTTGTCTGGAGCCTTTGAAGAGATTGGGTGCCCCATTCCTACCTGGCTGAGACCCTAAGGCTGATGTTCCTGCCTGCTGCCTGGACCAATACTTTGGCTGTGCTAACCATATCTCTGCCTGCTGCATGTAATGACCCAGGACATTTTATGGACCATGTTCCTGCCTGCTGCCTGGACAAGTACTTTGGCTGTGCTGACCATATCGCTGCTTGCTGCCTGTAGTGACCCAGGAAAGTTTATGGACCATATTCCTGCCTGCTGTCTTAACCAATACTTTGGCTGTGCTGACTATATCTCTGCCTGCTGCCTGTACTGACCCAGGACTTTTTATGGACCACATCTGGCTCTCTTCTGGTGTACACACATCCCCGGAGGTTCCCTCTGCCACTGGTGGGATTGCTCGGAGGTCGTGACCTGGTCCTGGTTCTGCTCCAAGTCCATCCCCACCATCAGGGGCCCTGGTGAAAATGCAGACCGGGACTTAGACTCCACGCTTCGGGTAAATCCTGTCAAGTGGGCTGCCAGAGGCACCACCTGGCGGATCCGTAACAGAGGCCTTTGTGTTAAAAAAAATACATTTTCCTTTTCTTTCTACACTTTACAAAAACTTTTGGAAAAAATGAAACCTTCAAAAGACTCATTATACCTCACAAAAAATATGTTAGAGTATTTGCTTTCCAAAATGGGGTAATTTTGTGGGTGTTTCCACTTTCCTGGTGCTCCAGAGCCTTCAAAAGCAAGGTTGTCAAAAAATTAGTTGTGTAATTTTTGCCCCTAGAAGGCCTAAAGGTGCTACTTGGATGTTGGGGCTCTTTATGTGGCCAAGCTGTGGAAAAATCTCACACATATGGTATGCCCATACTTAGGAGGAGAAGCAGAATGTATTTTGGGGTGTAATTTTTGGTATGTATGTGCTATGTGTTGGAAATAGCTTATAAATGGACAATGTGTAAAAAAAAAAAGTTTTCATTTTCTTTCCAAATTTTCCAAAAACGTGTGAAAACAAATGACATATTCAAAATACTCAATATCCTTCATAGAATATACGTTGGGGTGTTTGCTTCTCAAAATGGGGTCATTGTGTGAGTAATTCCATTGTCCTGGTGCTCCAGGGCCTTAAAAATTGTAATAGGTAGTCAGGAAATGAAATGTGTAATTTATACCCCTAGTACACCTGACAGTGCTCCTTGCATGTTGAGCTTCTCTATGTGGCTAGGCTGTGAAAGTGTCTCACACATGTGGTATCCTCATTCTCAGGAGGAGTAGCAAAATGTGTTTTTGGGGTGTAGTTGCAAGTATGCATATGCCTTGTGAGAGAAATAACCTGATACTATGACAGTTTTGAGGAACAACAACAATAAAAATCTTAATTTTCGATAGATTTGTGAGAAAACATTACAACTTAAAAAACTAACTAAATACCTTGGACTGTCTGCTTTCCAAAAAGGGGTCATTTGGGGGGTATTTATACTGTCCTGTGACCCCTGGTTCACATATCCATGTTCCTTCGGGCCACATCTTGCGTGGGCATGAGAGCCCATTCATTTGAATGGACTCCTGTGCCCCGGGACACACAGGGAAGAAGTCCCTGCACTTCTCCTGAAAGCGCAGCCTACACGGGAACCTCAGTTTCCAGTACGGTTGCGATCTCCAGTGTGGGCGGTGTGCTATTAGAATTAATGGCACCCACCTGTGGGTCCGCATTCTTCTGTGTGGGTGGTGCGGCTGCACAGATTTTTGTGCAGATCTGCAGCGGCACCACCCACACAGTTGTGAACCTAGCCTTATGCAGCCCATAGATGGGTCGAAAATCGGCTGATTTTTCTTTAAAAAAACAAAAAATCGGTCGTTCAAGCGGCCGACGTTACCAGCAACGGTAAAAAAAAATCGTCCGATTTTCATCCCGTCTACAGCCGGCAAAAAGTGTCCCTGCAGAGAGCTCCGCTATTTCAGTGGTTTGCAACAATGTATTTGTATCCATTTAGGATACAGATGTTTTTATTCGGAAACAAATAGATACATTGTTGCAACCGCTATAAATGTCAAGGAACTGTCAAAGAAATAGCGGAGCTCTCTGCAGGGACATTTTTTGCCGGACTGGAATTCCTCTTCTTCTTCATCCTCTTCATCCTCTTTTACTTCCTCTTCTTCATCCTCTTCTTCTTCCTCTTCTTCATCCTCTTCTTCTTCTTCATCCTCTTCTTCCTCTTCTTCTTCCTCTTCTTCATCCTCTTCTTCTTCCTCTTCTTCTTCTTCTTGTTCTTCTTCATCCTCTTCTTCTTTTTTCTTCTTCTTTTTGTCTTCCTCTTGCAGGTCACTGCTCATGCACAGATTTTTTTATCGGTAAAAAGATCGGCCGATTTGCCCATCATTGCCGCGAAAATCGGGCGATCGGCAAAATCTGCCGAATTGTTTCCAACTTTACCGATAAAAAAAAAATCTGCCAAAATACCAAAAAACGGCCGAACAATTAGTCCACTAACGATCCGAAAATCGGCCGATTTTATTTTCGGACGAAAAATCGGCCGATTTTCGACCCATCTATGGCCTGCATTAGTGTCTCAAGAAATGAGATAGGCCCTCAGTACATCAGGTTTGATCAATTTTAAATGATTGGTACCATAGCTTGTAGACTCTATAACTTTCACACAGACCAAATAATATAGACAGATTTGGGCTATGTTTACCAAAGAAATGTAGCAGTACAAATTTTGGCAAAATAAAAATGTTTAAAGTAAAATTCCTTATTTGCAAAATTCTACAGCAGAAACGAAGAAAATTTAGATTTTTTTTTCACACATTTTTTGGTCTTTTTTCCATTTATAGTGCAAACAATAAAAAACCCAGTGCTGAAGAAATGCCACCAAAAGAAAGCTCTATTTGTGTGAAAAAAAGAACAACAATTACATATGGGTCCAGCGTTGCATGACTGAATAATTGTTAGTCAAAGTGCTGAAAGCTGAAAATTGGTCTGGTTAGGAAGGGGGTATACAGTAAGTGCCCAGTAGGCAAGTAGTTAACTAGCTAAATACCTCCCAGGTGCATCAAAACAAACTTCTTACTTTTTTTTAAATTAAAGACAACAGTTGGTTGCCTGACATGTAAATTGGGGAGCACACAAGGTAAATTAACTAGAAACATCCCCTAAAAAACACCTATGCTGTGTGCTCCAACCCAAAAACAAACCAAGAACAAATGTCTGTTACATAAAAAAATGTATTATTATTGTAGCACCCTCATAGCCCAGTGCAGGTTGTTAGGTAAATTTAGTTGGCTCCTATGTAATCAGTGGAGCAGGGATTGATTGTTTAGGCCTTCTAAGTGTCTCAGAGGCTGCATCTCTAATTGCTTCCACCTATATTCTAAAGGATTCTAGAGTTTTAGTGGGAGAAAGAACAGAGTGAGCAATGTGAATATTTATAGGGGAGTCTAGCCAATCCCTGGGTAGGTGTGCCCAGTAGGTGGCTGGAGAGCCCTTAAAGGCTTGAAACAAAGGGAAGAGAGTTCCTGGGTCCAATCTTACTGGAGGAGACTCTGGGGCAGGATTACTGGAGATCCAGAAGACATCAAGGTCCCAGTTGAAGCTTTAGCTGGGGGGGGTCTTTTGGCAAAGCCTTGCCATAGAGTCTGTTTGGGTCTGAAAAAGCTCACTGGAGAGTGCCAGGAGGAAGTTGGGGGAAAGGTATCCAGCCGTCCTATGGTGGTGTGAGTCTGTACCTCCTTCACTGAAGTGACTGGTGGATATTGGAAGGAGGCAACCAATAATCCTGTGGTCATGTGAGTAGATGGCCCTGTGCTGTAAGTTAGTGTGCAGTTTTTTGGGAAAAGTCCCAGTTACCTGTCACCATTAGCAATTCTGTGGGACATTGTGTGCAGCTCAGCAGGATAGAGAAGTCCTCAAGGTGTTTGGTTTGAAATTTAAAAAGACACCCCTGGACTGTTCCATTTGACTGTTTGGAAGAGTGAAGAAGATGCTGTGTGCCTGGTTGTGTGTGCTCTAACTGGTGAAAAAGTTCACCAGTTCACCAGTTCACCTGCAGCTCCTTAGGGGGTGCACTTACAGATTTTTTTTGCCATTGAAAAGCAGCCACAGCCTGAGTAGAAAGGCCTGCCCCTACCAGAGAAGGACTTTTGCTGCCTGTGTGGAAGCAGTGGTCTCTGCAGATGTTAAAAATGCCTCCTGCTGGGCCAGACAAATCAGAAAAATGTATGCTCCCTGCTGATTGGTTAACTCTAGCTGTGATATAGCATGGAGTGTGTAGCACCTCTTCTGAGAGATCACTGCTCCCACACAATGAGCAAGGATCCTTCTCTGCAGCATGCTGGCAGGGAACAGACTTTTCTACTCTGTGACTGCTTTCTAAAGAAAAAAACTTCAAGAATTTGGACTTCTTTTGTTGTAATGCTCTAGGAATGTGAGCTTTAAAGTGTATCATAATTTATAAATGACAATTGGGAACTTTATATTATCATGCAATCCAATTTTTCAGTGTTCTATCACAAAACCTGAAATACAGAAGGGAGGGGCAGATAAGGCACTCTGGCTATTGTCCAAACAAACAATACTTAAAATAACAGTAAAAAAAATCACAGTCAATTTTGCAAGAAACAATGCACTTTTACTTGGCCTCAGCTTAAAAGCTTTTCATGTCAGATAGTGCCCTTTGAACTCTGCAAATTGATTTGTGCCTGAGTAATAGGAAAAATGTGAGGTTGTACCCTCTGTACAGCTTGCAGCTATCTGCTCACCTTGGTGTTGTGGGACTCAATTGGCAAAGTGTTTGACTTTCTTCCCGCATCCACCTCCCACCCCAGAGGCCAATGCCGCTACATGTTCTCAGGGAGGCTATTTCTGTCAAACAATATTCAGGAGAGAAATGCTGATTGTTGATATCTCTATGGAGACAGCAGAATAATACGTGACTGGCAGGACCTATGGCTACTGATTGGAAATAGCACCTTGTCTCAAAGATGTAAACATACTCTCAAACAGGGGTGGACTGACCATTTGGAAACTCGGGCACTGCCCGAGGGCCCGGGGTCAGTAGGGGGCCCCATGAGATGCCCCTGGTACCTTTTTCATAGGCTTTTTTGAGTTTGGGCAAGGACACAGGGGCCCCATGATCCCCTATTGCCCAGGGGCCCCATGAGTTGTCAGTCTGCCCCTGGTTACCAGCATCTATCTTAACACGTCCTGGAATGTGGAATTTTAAGCTAAAAAAACACGGGAAAAAAACGCTGGGAAAAAAAACAGCTGGTAATAGCCTTTTTAATAGCTTTTAAGTAGTGTTTAGAAGCATTAGTGTTTTATTAGCGTTTTTACAGTACATGTAAGAATAAAAAAGCTGTTAGAAGCATTTTAGTTGCATTTAGGAGCGTTTAGCGTTTTTTCTGCTGGAAAAATGCTCCAAAAAACTCTATATAAACTATTTTTTTTTCTGCTCCTAGACGCTGAAGCACAAAAAATGCTAATAGCCTAAAGTCGTGTGCATGAACACATAGGATAACCCATTTTAGCGTTTAAAAAAAATGCTAATAACAGCTTCTAGGAGCTTAAAAAAAACACTAGTGTGCATGGAGCCTACAACTATTAATGAGATCTGCATGCGCAGTACAGACAGGGTTGTTAAACCCAAAAGCAAACCTTTATTATATTGCAGCTTACCAATTCTTAGATGTAATGGCTGCAGTAGTTTTCTTTTTCTAGGCTTTCTTTTCTATATTTTTACCTGGTGATCTAGCCAGTAAATCTGTTGTTTTTTAACAGAACAAGCTCTACTGTATGTAGAAAGGTTCAGTCTGTTTTCTCCACCACAAGTGGCTCTTGAACTGAGTCGATTGGTACCACAGCCCTGAGAGGAAGTCCTAGGGAAACTTTGATTCTCTATGGTTTCCTGTGTCAATTGGAGCAGCATTCCAGTTGGCTAAGCGGCGGCCATGTGACCCTCAACATCCATCTTTGGTCAGTAGGATCTGTTTAAACCCGTCCCTGTGTTTTGGTGTGCATTTTGCAAGTGTAGGGAGAGAGACCCTACTTGTTAGGTAAAGTAACTAGCAGTAGGGAAAGGTTCCTGATGAGGAGGGACAGGCTAGGGACTCGCTATCCTGAGAAGAAGCCTCCCCTCTTGGGACCGGACTGGCCAGGCCACACATCACCCTTTGAAACAGACGTTGTCGGCACCTTTCCTCAGCCACATCTGACTGCATTGAACTACGAGCTATTTCCCTAGCAACACTCTCCCACTAAGGGTGTTTGTAACATTGACATTCTGTTCACTACAACTTCAAGTTTTACTGCAACTGGACTCTGTGTATTTACTAGCCACACCATGCTGCACCTCCCTACATGCAAATGTATCAGTTAGAGTGTTAAGACAAACAATTTACCACTGACAGAGGTGCTTACAATAATCAGCTTGTATCAGGGGAGGACTGACAACTCATGGGGCCCCCGGGCAATAGGGGATCATGGGACCCCTGTGTCCTTGCCCACATTCAAAGCACACCAAAAAAGCCTGTAAAAGGTACCAGGGACATTTCATGGGGCCCCCTACTGACCCCGGGCCCTCGGGCAGTGCCCGAGTTCTCAAATAATCAGTCCGCCCATGGCTTGTATTTATTCATGTAAAACTTTTCTTCCAAAAGAAAAAAAACAGTTACTGTATAGTGTGAGCTGGAGTTTGGCTTCAGTTTGTTGGTGTATTTATATCTGCTAGTACATCAAACACTCCCCTCCCCAGACTGACAATGCTGCTGCCCAAATCTGCCCCCTGTGCTCCTTCATCCAGATTGGGGGCACTCTAATACATGAGATGTGTTGCTATGTGTTGCTGACCAGATCACCAGGGGAAAACACAGGGGAAAAAAGCCTAAAGAAAAGAAAACTAATGCAGCCACCACATTTAATAATGGTAACGTACAATATTTTACATTTATGGTTTTGTCTTTAATAATGCTTTAATTATGGCAAACATAGCTCCCTAGCCCCAAAATAGAACCAGTTGGATTTTTCAGTGCTGGGGTTGTCAGAAAAGAGCATATAAAAAAGGTATGTTCAATTATTAAAAATGTTTAAGTTATTATATGTGTATGGGAACATGTAACAAATATAAACTAAGTGTTAGTCAATTTGGCTGTAAGTGGAGACACACTTTAAGTCACTTTCAACATTTCCCCGTTGTCCCCACATAGTGTGTCTGTTGTTCTTTGCACTTCATCAACTCCGTCTTCTTCCTCAGCAATCTCCAGTCTCCAGCTTTATCAGTTCCAGCAGTCCTCTTTGGTTTTCCAGTCCACTTCATCCTCACCCCCTCTTGCCTGTTTGCACCCCTGCAGTGCACGGAAATTACACGGTTGCAGCCCAGCCGTCAAGCTGCAGTATACCTTCCTATATTGTGAGATGGGAGAGAGGGGATATCTTTTACTGCAAAATGATTCTTGCCACACTTCCGATCATATGGGCAAGAACGAATGAAAGAACAAAAAATTATCAATTAAAGGTGTTTTATTTTACCACTACCATTCCTTTTTATTATTGTTGAAAATAACCAATGTAATAGCGGGAACATAGCATGAAAAGTTATTGCAATGTATGGCTAAGGTTAGATGTGCAGCAGACCATGTGTCCCCAATATGAGGCCATATGTCGCCTCCTCGCCACCTGTTTTAACCCTGTAAATGCAGCACCACCCTGCCACAACTGGGTGCTTTGATTGCTGTTTCTGGGCGGTTGTAGCACAGTCCAATTCACTTAAATGGACCGTATTTGGTGACAGTACTACATGCCAAATGTGACAAGGGGTATACAACCCCCTGTGCACAACCCTACCTGGCTGCCTTTACTGCTTAAGGGGGGTGAGCAAGGTGGTAAAATCTGGCTCAACCTCCTGTTTTTACCCCCCCCCCCATCCTCAAGATTGATAGCCTCAGCTTGATAGTCTCCCCTTTCCTCTGTGTTCCCTTTCATGTGTTGACACTTTTGCCTTTCATGACTGCTCTAATTCATTTTTATGTTTGTGCAAAATGGAACTTGAGCTATTGAGCTCTGTAAACAAGATTTTTTTTTTAGCAAAAAAATAAGGTTGATGTGGAATATGTGGCAAAAGGATTCTAGAATCTCATACATCCTGAAAATGAGAATACAGAATAATAATATACAGTGTTTCATTGTTTCAAATAAATACATATTCTAACAGGGGCGGACTGAAAACTCATGGGGCCCCTGGGCAATAGGGGATCATGGGGCCCCTGTGTCCTTGCCCAAACTCAAAAAAGCCTATGAAAAAGGTACCAGGGGCATCACATGGGGCCCCCTACTGACCCCGGGCCCTCGGGCAGTGCCCGAGTTTCCAAATGGTCAGTCCGCCCCTGTATTCTACACTTCTAAACATTAGGATATGTTTTAAAACCCCACCTTATTGCTTATTAGTTCTGTTTGGTTCAGGGGCGGACTGACAACTCATGGGGCCCCCGGGCAATAGGGGATCATGTGGCCCCTGTGTCCTTGCCCAAACTCAAAAAGCCTATGAAAAAGGTACCAGGGGCATCTCATGGGGCCCCCTACTGACCCTGGGCCCTCGGGCAGTGCCCTAGTGCCCAAATGGTCAGTCTGCCCCTGGTTCGGTTTGTGGTTGAACATTTGAACATAACGAAAGTTCGACTGCAAACTTTGAACAGAGGGGATAATTCACTAAGCGGTATCTTACCGCATCTGAATATGCGCTAAGATACCACACAGCTACTAAATACATTCTTTATTGTTTCAGCTGTCAGTGGAGTTGTAAAATGTAAAAAGAATTGCCAGCACTGTCCGGCAATTGAGAAAAAAAAAAAAAAAACGTGACTCCCCGCCCCATCCATACCAAGCCCTTATCCAAGATTTTGGTGTTCCCCCCCAAAACCCATACCAGACCCTTATCCGAGCATGCCCTCCCCCTCCTAAACCATACCAGGTCACATGCCCTAAACATGGAGGGGTGCTTTGGGGCAGGGGGGCTCCCCCACCAAAACATTTTGTCCCCATGTTGATGGGGACAAGGGCCTCTTTCCCACAACCGTGGCCAGTTAACAAGGGAGCCCCAGATCCTGCCCCTCCCTATGTGAATAAGTATGGGGTACATCTTATCGTTACCCATTCACAAAAAACAAGTGTAGGGCAAAAATGACCAGAGATAATCTTTGAGAAGTCCTTTATTACAAAATAAAAATTAAAAAAATGTCCCCCCGAAGTAGATCCAACGTCAATCACGATGCCCACCGCCACCACCTCTGACCTGCTCTTGAAGCTGGCTCCCGGTTGTCTACCCCGCAAACACAGTTCCTAAATAGTGTGAGGACATCACAAGGAGGCAGGATCCCCACCCCCTTGTTATGTCATCATGCACTGTGATTGGCCGAAACATTGCACCTGACCTGTGGTTTATTATTAATAAATAAACCATTTATTAATAATAAATCATTATCCCATACAGCGTATAGTGATGACCATTTGTTTTATGAGTCATCACCAGGGATGAGCTTAGGTTTGATCCTAGTCCAAACCCACTTTGGCGATCCTGGAAGCCTAAAGCTGTCACTATACTTGTCCAATCATAAGCGGCCATGGCATTCTCCACCCCACAGCTGCACCCCTTGTATACATGCAGATGAGTGGCAGGGAATGTCTCAGCTGCCTATGATTGGCACTGTACAGATGAAAGCTTCCTCAGTGGGGATCAAACTGGGATCCAAACACACCTGAGCTCATCCCTAATCATCAATGTACATTGTTTGGGATAATGATTTATATTTATTTATTATTTATTAATTGTATTCAGGTTAGTTATTTATTTACAACACCATATATTACTATTTCATATTTATTTTAAAAAATTAAAAATATTATTAGTACTGACTATTATAAATAAAAATAAAAAAACACAATACTTTCCCATCAAGGAGGATTTTTCTGGGTTACTCTTTAGGCTCCATATACACAGACACTTCTGAACTGGAAACTGACTGCTAGAAAATGTAGGTTAAAAAACGTCTGTTTAGCCATGTTTGCATACCGCATTTATACGAGTGTTTGCGTTTAGAAGCGTTTTTTAAAGATAACCTCAGGAGACCTTCCAAAATGCCCAGAATGCACTGAAAAACAGTAACAAATTTACTATTTCAGACATTTTGAGAGAAATAGAGAGAGCAGAAGCAGAGAGATAGTATTTGTTGAGATTAGCTGTCTTATTTTTTTTTTTTTTATTGTGGTGTTTGAATGTGTTCCAGCTCATTTCTGTGCAGAAATTATTGCAGCAGTGTCTAACATATTTTCTTTCATGCGAAACCTCAAAGTATGGTGTACCAGGTCCAGGGGCGGACTGACCATTTGGAAACTCGGGCACTGCCCGAGGGCCCGGGGTCAGTAGGGGCCCCCATGAGATGCCCCTGGTACCTTTTTCATAGGCTTTTTTGAGTTTGGGCAAGGACACAGGTGCCCCATGATCCCCTATGACCCGGGGGCCCCATGAGTTGTCAGTCCGCCCCTGACCAGGTCCATATGAGTAATGGGAAAACGCTTTGCATGCATTTTTCATTATGAAAAAAGGCTCTGGACAGCATCTGGAAATGGAAGAGTTAAAAAAAAAATTTGCAAACGCTTATAAACGCGGTTAGCCGCATTTACAAGCGTTTGACGTTTGAAACGCTGATAAAATCTACTACTGAACGCAAATTTACGACATTAAAAAAAATGACTGTAAACTCAACTGCCTGTAAACGACTGTAAACGACGATGTATACATGAACACATAGGAAAACATTAGGGAGAGTTCAGGGGCTGCTGAAAAAAAACGCTGAACAGCTTCTAAATGTGAGTTTATCAGCTGCAGTGTACATGAGCCCTAATACTAGCGGGCTCTTCTTGCTCACTACAGGGAATACCTATTATTGACTGTCTATGACAGGCTCTCTTTATGTCCGTGGTGACAGGGGTGGGCCCCAGAATAGCAGGTATTAGGGGGCTGTGAATTCTGTGCCTGTAAGGTGCCGCAATATATTTTGTCTGCGTTTGCCCTGCCAGGTCCAAGTGAATCTCAGCAGCGGTCTGGGAATTAGGACTAGATCTGCATTGGCAGCAGAATGAATACAATTAAAGCTTCAACCAAAACACAGAGCACGGAAAGGATTATGGGTTTGGCAGGTGTTCATATCCCAACCGCACACACAGTGTAAACTGTCTACTATCTGCTGTGCAGATCATACAATTCCTCCTGCTTCTATTTGCCAATGTTATCAAAACACGAAATGCAACAGTGCAAGAAGTGATTTTACTTCCGTAGTGGGCAGTATGTCTTGTAATGAGCAATGTTACGCAGATTCGTTAATCATTTTTGTCTTTTCAATTTGTAGATGTTAACATGCAATGTTGCAAACACAGCCATAGCTGGTAAATGATGTTTGTGTATTACAAGCTGTGATAATCTTTGGAACACAAGCCTGCAATCCCTACAAAATATAAAAGAGGCGTAGTTAGAAAACTGCACATGCAATGGGTATCTATGGGGGTTATACGGTTATTTTTATCTTTACAAAAGTGAAGAAAAAAGGTAAAATGTC